TGTAGCATAAACCAGTGTCGAGAAAAACTCGTTCAAAGTTAGACTAACAGATGCATTGATTGATTGATTTTTCTTAGGCCAGAGTACTCCTTTAAATCAAATCTCTAATCAAAAAAGAAAGCTTATTGAACTACCGTAAATACTGTAAAAGTACCCCACCGCCGCCCTCGTACAGTCGCGTAGTTGCAAAAGTTTTTAGTATTTCATTTTTCTTTAAATCGCCGGTACTTTCAAAAAATGCGTCTTTGATATCAAAAAATAGCTGAAATTCAGGGCTATTTTTTGATACCTAAGCGCGCATTGTAGCATAAACCAGTGTCGAGAAAAATCCTCGTTCAAAGTTAGACTACGCAACACTCCGCACCATCATGATGCAGGTGGAGTACAATTATAGGATTTACGGTTGGTTCTTCTTGACAAAAGCAGCGTTACTTAACTTTCAAAAGTTGGCAAATTTTAGAAAATGGTTTAGTCGATAGAAACCCTAATCTAAAGACATGTAGAATGAAAAATTCAATCTAAATTAACTAATTCCAGCTGGGAACAAAGTAGCCATCGTACATCAAGAGCTTTCTAAAGCAACCACTCGAAAACATCAATGCTCTTTGCTTATAAATGCTCACAAAAAAAAATAGCTCTGAATTTCAGCTATTTTTTGATACCTAAGCGCGCATTGTAGCATAAACCAGTGTCGAGAAAAACTCATTTAAAGCTAGACTACGCAACACTCCGCACCGTCATTATGGGCGTGGGGTACTATTAGGTTGTCCCATAAAAACCCAGAGATTTTGAATTTCATTTATTTTTAGCACATAGAAACAACGAAGAATCAGAATCAAATTATATATTTTCCAGATGAATTTATAACTTTTCTCCAACGTTTGGGTAGCTTGCCAATCCCTCGTTCGTAAACCCCAAGCGGGCGCGAGCGAAAATAGTCGTTCAATTCGTCCTCGAATTCGCTCTCATCTTTGAACTTTTTACCACGTAAGAAATCCTTTAGCGACAAGAACAAGTGATAGTCAGAAGGGGCAACGTCCGGAGAATACGGTGCATGAGGAAAGATATTCCAGTGTAGGTTGTCCTTCACAAAATCGATCGATCTTTCTGATTTGTGGGAGCTTGCGCCATCCTGAAGAACGAAAACGGGGCCGTTCCATTGGTTTTCATAGAGTAACCTTCCGACTTTTTGTTCCACTTTTTTCATATGATATAGATAAACATCGATGTTGAAATTTTGCCTCGGTTTAAGAAGTTCCCAGAGAAGGACGCCTGTTGAACACCAGTCGGCACACAAGATTCGCTTCTTTTCGTGGATCTTCCATTTTGGCAGCATTTTACATGCTTGCCCTTTTTTCAATCACTGCCGTTGTAACACTCGACCATCGTAGAAAACCCACGTTTGATCGTGAGTGATGATGTTCGAAAGACAAAGCCGACCATGCCGGTATTCGCTCCACAAATGGTTGCATGTCCGCTTTCTTTTGACTTGGATTGTTTCCGATCTTTCGTATGGAATTTAGCGTTGTTTTCTACGATTTCTTTCCACTTTTCGCGGTCATCGCTACACAGTCATCCATCCACAGTAACTTCCAACCAATTCTCCGGGTGATCCATCGGGGTTTCGCAGGAATCGGTGCCTCAGAATCGATCGATCCACTTTCCAGGGGTCGGCCGCTTCTCCTCTTCCGTTTGATCCTTGTGTTGCTCATCTTGAATCTGTGAAACCATTCCTATGCAGTACTCGTTCCAACGATTTTGTTGCCATAAAATTGATTGTTTTCTTGTGTTGCTTTGGCCGCTGAAATCCCTCTTGAAGATCGTTGGAGCAGTTGGGCGTGAATTTCTTCTCGAGTTGGCTTCATTCGATCGACTGCAACTCTCTTCTCGTATCGGCCCCTAAAAAATGAATGCTAGTGCAAGAAAGAAGAAAGTTTTAGCATGAAAAAGAAAAAAAGATGAATACAAAACGTAGTGTTGTGAGCGAGTAGTGATTAAAACAAAAATCTCTGGATTTTTATGGGACAACCTAATATTACAGGATTTACGGTAGCTTCTTGTCTGGCATGAGTTTAGCAAAATGAGTTAAGAAAAACTATCAAATGATCAAAACAAAGAAAGTAGAAATGAAAAACAAATCGACTTTAGTCGCCTCTTCGCCGTTTGCTTCGGTGGCCTTCATTTCTATCGTACAAATCGTCGACCAATCCTTCAACTTCTATTCCCATTTGCTCTTAAACTTGTCATGGAAAGCATTCGAATCTTTATCATGGGGAATATTGTTCAAACATACATTATCTACATCAGTCCTTTGCCTTTATTTTTAACTTGTTCTTTTGATTTAGTGACAAGAATGAACTTGAAAAAGGTAAAGTTTTGCAAAAAATATTTCAATTAGAAACAAGTTTAGTTGGCAAAAAAGGAAAAAGTGGGAAAAGTTGAGAAATTGTTGATGATACAGGTTTGTGTATTTGGTATTTAGTAGCATAGGAACCGATTGGTTGATTGGTTGGGACATAGGAACCGATTGGTTGGGACATAGGAACCGATTGGTTGATTGGTTGGGACATAGGAACCGATTGGTTGATTGGTTGGGACATAGGAACCGATTGGTTGATTGGTTGGGACATAGGAACCGATTGGTTGGGACATAGGAACCAATTGGTTGGGACATAGGAACCGATTGGTTGATTCGGTTGACTTTTGGTTGATTTGGTTCGATTTAATTTGAAACCTATTAAGCTTTCTGTCGGCTTCCGTCAATCAGTCAGGCTTCGGTCAGTCAATCTAACCGATTTGTCTCAATAAATTTTTGATTATTGGGTTGGGGAGTATGAAATGGAACCGACTGGTCAAAAAAATTGGTCAACCATTGTTAAAATCTTTAACAAAATGGCAACGAAGATCACTTCTATTAACAAATAAATAGTCGTTAAACGCCGAGAAAAGAAAATTTGAAATCAATTTTCTTGAATTGATTTTTTAAAACCGATTTTTTGAAATTTTCTTGAAATAGGTTTATTGATTTAGTCAGCCTCAATAGATTCGGTTTCGTTCGTTTTCAGATTTCTATCTGTTCCGATCGATTCTTTGAATCGAATCTAAAGAAATCCGTTCTGAATCTAAAGAAATCCATTGCGAATCTAAAGAAATCGGTTCCGAATCTAAAGAAATTCGTTCTGAATCTAAAGAAATCCATTCCGAATCTAAAGAAATCGGTTATCCATCAAATTTCTGCCTATTAACTACGTAAATATATCTTTACATAATCTTACATTTAGTGAATGTTTGCCGTAAACCCCGACGGCCGTAAACCCTTAAACATTTAAACCCATTTTCACATGTTATCTAGTATTTGGAAAATGTTCAGATGCTGGCAAATTCTTGGTTTGTTTTGGTGCAGACAATCTTTCTCGGTATTCTCGACATCGTTGGTCCTCATCTTGGCTCACTTGGCTACTTCATTGCTGCCGTTTTCAATGCTCTTTGTGGAGATCTATGCTTCTTTTTAATCACAAGGTAAGAAATAAGAGTCCTCTTGAGTCCTCTTGTAGTGACTATTATTGGTTTAGAGCCTTTATTATAGCCTTTATTACAGCGATAATAGTTGGTTCAGTGGTTTGAGATTGGGAGTGTAGAGAGTCCATCACGAGATCGTCACGACACCTCTTCCAATACAAAATACACAAACGAATTTCAGTCTGATCACGATGATTTGTCTCCGGAAACGAAAAGAAACGGGAAAAACGGTTGATGTGACTCAAACTTCTCATCATCGTTCTTTAAAATGAAAGAAAAAGTATAAAAGTTGATTATGTATATGTTTAAAGCACAACACAAGGGTTACTAACGCAAGAGAAACTCAAATAATTGTGCTCAAAGTTTTGATTGCATTTTTTGACAAGAAATTCATTTGTTTATTCTTAAAAAGCCGAGTTTCCCAGCCGCTTACGCTCTCAGCATTTCTCCTTTACTTCAACGAAATTTGTATTTTAAAAAAAAACAACTTAAATCCCCTTCCTCCTCAAATCATTCCTATCAAAAATGAGCATCGATTCTTTCATTTTTTAAAGAACATTTTTCTGATTTTATTCAGGATTGTAAAAGTTAAAAAAGTGAAAGCTTCTTTTAGAGATTTTAGAGCTTTTAAGAGCTTTTAGAGCTGCTTTTAGAGCTTTTAAAGCTTTTAGAGCTTTTAAAGCTTTTAGAGCTTTTAGAGAATCACGTTTTTCGACTTTAGAAATCTATCTCAACTTTGATTGTTTACTCTTTGAACTAAATTTGAGTCACTTTAACTTTCCAACGCAGTGTGTAGAATTTTCTTTATGTGGCTTTTGGTTTTGGTTTAAAACTTATAATATAAGAACACATTTACATATTAATGATTGATTGTTTTAGCTAGGAAGATTGACAAGTGAAATGTGGCTGCAAGTATGGAAGAACATAAACGATTGCTTCTTTCAATCAAACAGCGGTTGACTTAGGATTTTGGAGGCAAGAAAGTGTTGTTTACGGATGTTTCTGCTGTAGCTTTAGGCTCAGACTTAGGCTCAGGCTTAGGCTCAGGCTCAGGCTCAGGCTTAGGCTTAGGCCTGTTAAAAACGCCAAATGGTATATCTCATTCAGTCGAGAAATCTAACCGAAGTAGAAAAGACCCTTTCAAACGCATGGAGTTGAACTTGGTCTCAGCTTCTTTTCGTCTTCTGAACCTGAACAATGGAGTTGAACTATTAGGAGTTGAACTTGGTCTCGATTCTTGTGCATAAAAAATTTTTTTACCTTATGAAAACCTGAAAGTGATGTGTGAAAACCCAGCAACAGTAGCAAAAATGATAAAGGGAATGAATCATAATGAAACTGGAGCTTCAGAAACTTTCACCAGGCCACTAGGGCCACTAGGGGCCTCAGTTTAGGTCCATTTGTGATTATCGATTTCAGTTTTAGAGTTAGAACTTGGAATAGTGAACACATGTTTATAACAATCAATATATCGTTCATTAATTAGTAACGTAGTTCTCCTCATTCTTTTCGAAGAGACTGCCCAGCCAACGCCAAAAGCCGCCATTGTCATTTGTATTAGTCTGAAAGAAGCTGGCTTTAATTTTAACTTTAACTTTACAAAAAGCACTTCAAGTCTGAAGTATTTTTATAAATTCAATTCAATTCAAGTCTAAAAATAGAAATCATACAGTTAAAATTGAAACATTTAACTGACAGATCCTTGTCTCACTTTCAACAACAATATTGAATTGGTGAATTGAAAACTGCCGGCTATTGTCATAGGTGATAGTTTGAGTACTTTCTTCAAAAGAAACCCATTTTGGTGTCAATGGAAAAGTTGTAGAGAATCAAAAATCAAGCTTATATCCAAATTTTCAGAACGATTCAAAAACTGGTTTTCAAGAAATGCCGAATTTACGAACTTTCGCAAAACTTGCATTTTAAGCGAAACTACTAAGTGTATCTTTTTGGAAATTTGGCTATAAGCCTAATTTTTGATTCTCTGCAACTTTTCTATTGACACCAAAATGGGTTTCTTTTGAAGAAAGTGCTCAAACGTCCTCCAGGGACATCTCCAGTCCTCCATTTTTGAGTCTCACACTTGTCTCACACACAAACCAAAATCCTACTACGAAAGAGGAATCCGCAAATTGCCTGTAAAATGGGCACAAGTCGTCAATAATAGTGGAAATTATTTAGAATGAATTGATGGTTTTATGTTGAATAGATTTTAGTTCAAAGTCCGGCAGTTTTCAATTCAGCAACCCAATATTTAGCTTACTTCAGTCTGGGTTCTTCTATTCGTATTCGTATTGTAGTTGTAATTGTAGTTGTAATTGGAGTATTCATTGGTCTAAAGTAAAGCTTAAAAAGTGTAATTTGCGTTTTACTTACCCTCACTTGTCGAATGGGGCTTCTTTTCCTCTTCTGAACCTGAACAATTTGCTCCACTTGAACCCCTTGGTTGTAGTCGACCGTCAAGCAGCAACAAGTGGCTTCCTAAAGAACTGTCATAAGAAAAGCTTAAAAAGAGTATTTGCGTATCAATTTACAAACAAGAAGAACAAAAAAAAGTATATAATTTACCGGATCATCATCAGGTTTTCCTTTTGGATAGTCGAGACTTGTAGCAAATTGAACGAGAACAGCTTGAGTGATTGGATTGTACTTGAGAGTGACATTTCCACCAAACATCGGCAGTTTGACGAATAAGTTAACTCCCTAAGTGAAACAATGCTACTTTAGCTGCTATAATATTGCTAAGAAATGGTTTTATTGTTACTGTTACTGTCTTTATAGAGAACGATGATAAAACTACCCGGGTCCACAATCGCTAGACCTAGTTTGCTAGTAAACTAGTTGCTAGACAAGTCACTAGTTGAGTCCTCGTTCGGAACTAGTCACTAGTCACTAGCAAGTCAACTAGTTACTCACATTTTCTTGCAATTCTCTTAAGTTGATGGTTGCTTTGATCTCGAGACCGGCTGATAATCCTGTCGACTTGTCGGTCAAAGTCAGTGGAATCACTACTTTCCCATCTTCCAGATCACACTTTGCTCCAAACTGGAAAAATGCCAATAAAATAGATCTTTATTACTGAATATAACCGTTTCAAGGAGACAAATAAAAGTGAAAGAGATCAAAAGATCAATTTTATAGTATCGATGATACAAATCAATACAAAGGACAACGATGGCGACTTACTAGTCTTACTAGTCTTACTTAGTATACATTACACTGTCATGTACATTAAAAACTTTGTTTATTAGTCAACTAATTGCTTGCAAAGAATCTGACAAAGGTCTCCTGACCAAAATAAATTTTACAGCACTCATTCTTACTAGATTTCGTAAACCCACTTGTAAATCAATATTCTTTCCAAGATCTTGCCGATAGGTGAGACTAGCTGAATGAGAAGTCTTGAATCGATTCATATCAGTTGAAGCAGTAAAAGTGGTAGTCAAGTTCTTGATTCCAGCCACATTTTCCTTGATGTAACTTCTTGTAGCCGTGATTTGAGGGACATTGAAGGTACCACGAGCGAGATCGGCTGAGACTTGAACGCTCAGACGATTCTCCTCTTTTACATCAATGAAGCGAGGCATTTCTGCAAATGATCTAAAGATCTAAATGAGTTAACCGTAAAGAAATAATAGTCCTTAAAAACTAGAATAATTTTGTAGAAAAGAAGTAGGAAATGTAAGTAGGAAATCTAAGGCGATTCTTATCTAAGGAAATCTAAGGCAAAAAATTAGCTACGAAACGTTGCAACACCAATCAAAAACCAGGAAAATAGAGAAAATGTTTAAAAATTTATGCAGAAGATTGAAACAAATCGAACATTTATATACTTCGAGGTAGGAATTCAATGAAATTTTCATAGAATTTCATTTCAGAATCATTTTTCATCAATAAAGATAGCTCTACTTTTAAAGGATTCCAATTAAACTATTGTTAGATCTGTAAAAAAAAAGCTGTATCTTAAAACCTCTACAATCATTATTATCTCAATAATGATTGTAGAGGTTTTAAGATTGTAAAGAGATTGTAGAAGCAGAAAATTTTATAAGTAAGCGAAAAATTGAAAAATTGAAAGCCGGTAAAGCTACTCAAAGTAAATGTTATTAAAATATTAAATCCAAATCTTAATTAGCATTTGAAAGTCTTGATTGAAAGTCATCTTTGGCAAGTAAAAAGGATAGTTCTTCTTTTGACAAAAAGGGCTAAATTCATTTTTTCTTGCTTTACAACGAGTCAGCTCTTTTCTTTCTTTCTATTTCTATTTCTATTTCTATTTCTCTTTCTCTTTCTATTTCTCTTTCTATTTCTCTTTCTCTTTCTCTTTATATCTCCCCTATTTGCAAGAAAAACAACTATTTTTTATGTTGCAACGATAAAAAGTGTGCTATCGAAATGCTACCAAGCAAAGCAAAATTTTGATTCTCTCTATTCATTGCTGGGTGTCTACTACACGACCTGTGATATGACTGTGATAAAACCGAAATGATATAAACTCTAATCGAATGAATAATTGATTTGTGAAATATTAGGTTGATGCATAAGTCTTTTCGTTCCTTTTCGTCTGCCGTTTCAAGCCAACAAATGCACCAATTAAACTACGGTTGATTTCATTAGAAAAACCAATTATTTCTCTGCAAAATAACATTAAAACGGGTTTAAAAATATTTAATGCCTGGATTTTCTTGAGAGTATGAAGTCGGGTAGTCAAAAAGGGCTAACTCGATGATGCGGTTTAGACACCTTAGCTAAAGAAAACCTATCTTCGTGTCAATAGATAAAAGATAGAGAAAAAAAACGTTTGATATTTCGCCAAAATTTCAGAGAAATTCATTCAGCCAATTTTTCCGTAGAGTTTTTTATAGATTTTTACGAAAAAGGCGTTTTTCACTCTCGAATTTGCTTGAAAGTGAACCGAAATTCATTTAAAAAGATGCAAATTGAACAAAAAAACACTTTTTTTTATAGAGCAAACTATAGATTAATTGGTGAATTTGTTACTTTTTAACACAAAAACGAAAAGACTTATGCATCAACCTAATATAATTAATGACGTTTTATCGATTGTGTTTATCATGGAAAAAAATAAAACTTTATTATTACAAAATACAAGTTTTTGTCGAAACAAAATAAAGTTGAAAGTTTAAAAATATTTAAAAAATAATTCTTGTAATTATTTATGGAGCAATATTGTTAACATATGTCATTGCAGTCTCAAATTGTGCTTGGATAACTCGACTCTTTTGCTGTTCCCATTGCTGGAGAGCGAAGCTTTTCTGCGGCGGTGTGTGGCGGCTTTCGGAGCACGTATTGGATGGCCTCGATTCGGGAAAGCATTTGGAGCTTTTGGAAAGCTTTTGCAATGGATCATGGGAACCGGAAACCAGAAAATGCAATATCTGTAGTTGTAAATCGTTTTAGTTGTTTGTAATTGCTCTCAATTCATTCTTTGTTAAGTGTCTGTCGGTCGATAGCTGCTAAAGTTTGTTGAAATTTTTTTAATGATAATGAAATAATGATTCGAGCCTCAAATACTCAAAAGTCTCGGATGAAAAGACACTAAAAACTACCTTAAAGCTGAATTCTTCTGCATTAGTTAAATCACAAACAATGCAACTAAGTTTCTTAGTTTCTTAGTTTCTTAGAAAAGCCGAAAAGGAGCTAACGTTCGCTTCTCGCATCGACGACAAAAAGAGGTACGAAAACACTCAAAATTACACGCGTGTAATTTTGAATTTTGAGGGGGGCGTCCGAATCCTCAAATTGGACATTGTCTTCTCCTTAAATCAAGGCTAATCTCAATCTATTGGGCTGGTGAATTGAAAACTGCCGGCTATTGTCATATTTCACAGTTTGAGCACTTTCTTCAAAGGAAACCCTTTTGGTGTCAATGGAAAAGTTGTAGAGAATCAAAAATCAAAGCTTATATCCAAATTTTCAGAACGATTCAAAAACTGGTTTTCAAGAAATGCCAAATTTACGTATTTTCATAAAACTTGCATTTTTTTGTGATACACTAAGTGTATCCAAAAAGATACACTAAGTGTATCTTTTTGGAAATTTGGATATAAGCCTAATTTTTGATTCTCTACAACTTTTCTATTGACACCAAAATGGGTTTCTTTTGAAGAAAGTGCTCAAACGTCCTCCAGGGACATCTCCAGTCCTCCATTTTTGAGTCTCACACTTGTCTCACACACAAACCAAAATCCTACTACGAAAGAGGAATCCGCAAATTGCGTGTAAAATGGGCACAAGTCGTCAATAATAATGGAAATTATTTCTAATGAATTGATGGTTTTATGTTGAAGTTTTTTCATTAAAAACAAGCGGCCAAAAACGGTTTGTTGATGATTATCCACTCTCACTTTTAAAAAATTTCGATGTTAATTCAACTTTACTTGTTTACCATTGAAAAGATCACAAAGTATTACACGAATGAATGGTGCTCACTTGTAGTTAGGTGAGCAGCGGAGGCGATGTAGATGGCCAACGAAACGAAACAGCACTCTTCGAAGTATAGTCCGTCATTCCCTACGGCCTTCTGTCATCGATCGGCAAGATTTCGAATCTGCTCGAAGTAACGATCCGGCTCCTTTGAACCAAAAAACTGGTTTCTAATGTGAAGGCCTCTAAAGTTGTACAAGTTTTTGTTGTTGTTGTTGATTTTGATGTAGATGAATGTTGATGTTGATAATGTTGATGTTGATAATCTTGATGTTGATGTTGATGTTGATGAATGTTGATAATGTTGATGTTGATTTGGATGTTGATGTAGATGAATGTTGATGTTGATAATGTTGATGTTGATGTTGAATTTCAAGAATGTTGATGGCCAGGATTTCCCCAACGATACCGTGTTTACGGTTTCTAATGTGAAGGTTTCTAAAGTTGGACAAGTTTTTGTTGTTGTTGTTGATGTTGATGAATGTTGATGTTGATGCTGATGCTGATGTTGATCTTGATGTTGATCTTGATGTTGAATTTCAAGAATGTTGATGGCCAGGATTTCCCCAACGATACCGTGTTTACGGTTTCTAATGTGAAGGTTTCTAAAGTTGGACAAGTTTTTGTTGTTGTTGTTGATGTTGATGAATGTTGATGTTGATGCTGATGCTGATGTTGATCTTGATGTTGATCTTGATGTTGAATTTCAAGAATGTTGATGGCCAGGATTTCCCCAACGAAACCGTGTTTGCGGTTTCTAATGTGAAGGCCTCTAAAGTTAAACAAATTTTTCAATTCTTATTAGCTAATTCAAATAGTAACTTAAAGTAAAAGTTCTAATTGATGATTATCCACTCTCACTTTTGATCAATTTCGATTTTAACTCCAACTCTACTTGTTTACCATTGAAAAGGTCACAAAGTGCATTTCTCTAAACCTTGAAAACAACTCAACAACCCTTTTGCGAATTTTTCTTTCTGTTTTTAAACTTTTTGATATTCACATTTAAAAATCGATGTTCAAAATGATCTTTTTCATTTTATTGTTATTAAGTAAGTGTAATTTTCAGAAATAAAAACCTTTTTCAGTAAATCAGGCAATATGCATTAAAAAGACAGCTTTGTTTCCCGGTTGCCAAAAAAGTTGTGAACCGCCCGAAGATCCTCGAAAGCCTGTGAGTTTTTTAGAGAAAGATTTATTTATGAAATTATGACGAATCGAAATTTACAAATAAACTAAACTACAACTAAACTAAACTCCAACTAAACTAAACTCCAACTAAACTCCAGCTAAACTAAACTCCAACTAAGCTAAACTCCAGCTAAACTCCAGCTAAACTAAACTCCAACTAAACTAAACTCCAGCTAAACTAAACTACAACTAAACTAAACTTCAGCTAAACTCCAGCTAAACTAAACTACAACTAAACTAAACTTCAGCTAAACTCCAGCTAAACTAAACTCCAACTAAACTAAACTCCAACTAAACTAAACTCCAACTAAACGATAAACTCCAGGAGAAGCAGATTTACATTTGGGTATGCTGTCAGACAAATGGATGGGCTGACGGGAGATGTGTGTTCAGAAATGGCAACTTTATCCACTATAAGCCTGAATGCTGTGAAAAGAAAAACTGTGGACAGTAATAAAGTAATAAAGATTGAATTGACAGTAATAAAGATTAAATTTTATGATTTACTCAAAAAAAGCAATTTTTCTAAACTTTTAAAAACAAAGGACACTGTTTTATTCGAAAAATTGTTAATTCAAGCTAACAGTTCATTTCGACAAAGTTTTCTGTCTCATTTCAACATTAGAGCAGTTGAGTTTGGCTTGAGTTTAGCTTGAGTTTAGCCATTGATTCCCTTGGCTACAATATTTTTTTCTTTTATCGCAAGCGCTCAGCTTATAGCTCAGATTGAGGCCGAAAATCACGAATCTTAAAGTCAATCACTGAATTTCAATCACCCACAAACCCAAGCACAATTTCGGGACCAAAGAAGAAAACTTCATAAAAAAGAAAGAGCTCCATTGAAGTTTGTGGCTCTGGGGTACCCAGTGGGTCACCACGAAGACACGTGAATGCCTTGATAGACAATCGAAGACTGGTTTAGATCAGTTGCAGTGATAACCAGAGTCAGGTTAGCAATTAGAGATCGTAATTTGATGGGTTGTATATCTAGGGATGAGTGGGGAGGGAAAGCGTTAGAGAGTGCGCGATTGATTGCGATTGTGCAATGCAAAGGAAATGGAGGGAAGGTGAACGAATGGAAAAGACAGAAAGATCTGAAAAGAACCTGGCTAAAGTTCCAAGCTAAAGTCAGACTGCCATATTGAGCTGGCCTTGCGCTGATTGAGCTGTGTGTCATCGCTTTTTTGTTGAGAAACCAAAATATAGAACTGAAAAAAATGGCTGAAACACGAAAAATTTGTGTTTCCATCAAACAATAATGGGGAATTTCACGAATTTCACCTCATTTTCACATTTTTTTTGAATACGGATTGTAATTCGGGTTTAAAAGGCATAAAAGCATTTATGAATTGGCTCAATATTTACATTCTCTTGAAAGATAGTTGTCCAGTTCGATTCCAAAATACAATGTGTGATCTCGAAAATTGAGTCGAAATAGTGGAGCGCCAGACGAACATGATCTAAATGATTTTTAATGAAAATCTTATGAAAAAGCTCAACTTATCCTCGTTTCCAACACAAATCGTATAGGGCAAGCCAAGGGTCATGTTATTTGGATAGTAGATCTGAAAAAACAATGCCATCAATACAAGACTCAAAACTTTTGATCACCTCGATTCCATGATGGAGATAGTTTTCATTTTTGAATGGCACATGCGGTATCCAATCGTTGTCATGCACCACTCGATATGAGTAGGGAAGCTGGAAAATTCCTTTTTTTATCGATTTGATTCGATTTAGTCTACCGAGTTGAGGAGGGTCGAGTATTGAGCATCACCCGTTCTCGGCTCTCCATATGTGATCAAACGGATCTGAAATTTCAGACTATTGCTCCAACTAGTCCAACAAGGCTGGACTAAATTTCCAAGCTAAAGTCAGACCACCATATTGAGCTAGCTTTGAGCTGATTGAGCTGGCCTTGAGCTGATTGAGCTGGCCTTGTGCTTAGAAATTTGAACCAAAGCCGTACACCATGGGCTAACTAGGGACAGTGAGGGGATTCGAACCAGGGACGGACGACCAGCCAGCGCGAAAGGCGAGCACACTAACCGCTACACCATCGCCAAATCTCAGAGAAAAGTGGTTTGGCCCCATACTGCGGCGACGCCGTTTTCCCAAAAAGTGCTCAAACTTCAAAAGAGTTTTTCTCGAAAACTGGATGCTATGGAGTAAAACTGAGAAACACGTATCCCTTAGAATTTCAAGGTGGTGCTTCTGAGCTAGACCCTATATCCCAAATCGATGCTAAGTTGGAGCAGTGAAGCTTATTCCTCTTATTAAGCCTGGCCTATCCAAGCCTAAAGGACTAGCCCTGCCCTTTAGAAAGCTTGATTCTAATTCTTGTCATCATCATCATAACAATTGGCTTTGTAAATACCTTGCTTGGATCGGCAAATCCCATTTGTTTCAAGTATCCAGCACATAGTCCGGCCATTGCGCCTCCAAGAGAATGCCCAGTCACCTAAAGGAAAGCGATAACTTTGAGAGACTTTGTAAGACTTTGAGAGCTTTAACTCACCCAAATCTCATAGTCTGGATATTTTTGTTGTAGTGTAAAGAAGTCGTCCTTGATCCCCGCATTCCAGAGTTTCAAAAAAGCGTTGTAGAAGAAATCGGCGACTTTTGCGCCACCCGGGAAAGTTAACTGAAACGAGGGATTTAAGGATTTAAGGCTAACAAGGCTAACAAGGCTAACAAGGATTTAAGGCTAACAAGATTTAAGGCTTCCCAAGTTACCCGCGAGTTACAATGTGCCTGCACTCGGAACTCTTTGATCTTGGTTCGGATCCACTAGCAGTCAAACACTAACCACTAGGCTACGGGCTGACTTTTGGGATGGCGAAAGGAAAGCCTTTCCGCCGGCAAAAATCAGAAATTCGAGAAAAGCTTTCATTTTTTCGAAATTCAAATGGCTGTAACTTTGTGCGTTTTGCCGATTAGCGGTTTTTGAAAACAGTTTTAGGTCTTTCTTTTGGCACCTACCTCATATTGTAACTCGCGGGTAACTTGGGAAGGTTACCTTGTAAATCCCTAGGTCTTTTAAACTATTTATTACTGTATATTTGAATATATTGTGAAGAATTTCATAATACTTTCAAAGAAATAACCTGTTGACCGAAGAGGATATCGAGCGCCTCCATTTCTATTTCGTATGCTCCGACTGAGCCTCTAAACAAAAAGATAAGCTCATTTTTAGTTCAAAGTCTGGACAAAGTTCATAAATATAATATAGAAAGTCTCATTTTTTCAAGCCGAATATTCTACAAACATTGCTGGATCTTTGATGGATCTTTGATTTACTCAAAACTCATTTCAAAGATTTACGGAACTCATCAAAGACCCAGCAATGCTTGTACAATATTCGGCTTGAAAAAATGAGCCTTGTAGATTATAGTTATGGACTTTGTACAATTGCAGAAATGAAAATGACCTCTCTGCACTCACCTCCATGACAAGATGATCGCCATGCGAGAATCGGAGACAGCTGTATAGGCGGAACATGTCTCATTCAAGATATCGCATTGTAGCTCGATTTTTCTTCGCAACTAAATCAAAAATTACACGAATAAGAATCGAATTTCTTCTCTAAACAAACCTTTCCATCACCAGTTCCACTTTCAATGCATTTTTGAGGATCATCACGAAGAGCGCCGGCTGCCAATGGCCATATTACCTAAATATCTTTGTTTCTATCCGACAATCGATTATCATTTCTAATTTTAAACTCTCACATTTCTTGAGAAAGCCTCTGAATATTGAGCAGAAACATTCTGAAATAGAAACAAAAGAATCGGGATCGCAAAGTACGATGTCATCTTTTTTGCCGAATGGACTCTTCGAATCAAATTCCCATTTTCTCAAATCTCATTTTCCAAAAAGCTATTAAACTTATCAGTTATTGCTTCTTTATGTCATTCAAAAAAAGAATTCTCACGTGGAAAGGCAAAAGAAAGGCTAGTTTTTTGCAAATTACCGCAAAAAAAACCCATAAAGTTATCTCAAAAAAAAACGAAGAGCTTTATGCTGACACGAGCTCATTTATTTTTGATGTTCTTGTGATTTGTGTTTTTTTTTGATCTGTTTTCGCACAATTTTCATCAAGAACCGACAAAACCGAACCGACCCTAAAGTGAGGTCCTCCTTTAAATATTGGATTACCGTATTCCCTCTAATAGTAATGCACCCTGAGCGTCGCCTAAATTCCTCGAAATCTCGAGAACCGCTTATAAGAACCTATCGATACTTTTTTTTTGATCTGTTTTCGCACTCAGGTGTTCCTATTTGCGCAGATCACAACCTGCTTCCACATTTCTCTATCCCTTGCTATTGTCATCCAGTGTTTCCTAGCTTATTTCCTGTTTCCTGGTTCGAAGTCTTCGACTTGCTGGTGCTGGTGGTGGTTGCACTCTAGCCATCCTTTCTCTGACCGTCTCTGCCACTGGTCTTCCGATGGGCCTCTTCTGGTCTCGTGGTAGCCACTCTGTGATCCGTATCGTCCATCTGTCGTCTGTTCTTTTGGCTACGTGGCCGGCCCATCTGAGTCTTTTTCTCTCAATCACTTCCACTGGATCTCTGAGTCCCGAGAGCTGACGCATATCCGTACTTCTTAGGTTTTGGTCTAGCTGCGTCTTCCTATTGTACAGGTTCCTTTCAAGAGCTCGATGCGTCGTTCTCAGGGCTCGTTCAGCGGTCTGTGTCGTGGCCCAGGTCTCTGCCCCGTAGCAGAGTGCCGGGAGGACAGTGCTGTCGAAGAGGTGTGCCCGAGTTCTCTGATGATTCTTGAGTATCTTTGTGACTTCTTTGATGCTGTGATTTGTGTTTAACTCTAGAATTATGACAATCTTTTATTCTTTTCATTACCCGTTTCAACTTTATTGTATCAAATTGAATTACACTTGTTGCAAGATATTATTTGTCCCGTTTCCATTTCTCATTTCACTTTGTCGCCGTGAGAGTGCCTCCTTTTCTTGTCTGTGGAATTCATCGATGTCCACTCCCTATAAACAACTAGATTAGATAAAGCTAATGCAAGATTACAATAGCTTAGAAAGTCGACATGTTTTAGAAAATGAATTACTCGAGAATACATTCTATAGCTGGTCAATAGTCGATTTCTTAAACTTACCAACTTTAGCTCCAAGTTTTAGTTGTAAATTTAACTTTAGATTGATCTTTTTCCTCTCAATTCTAATAAAGTAAAGAAATGAATGGTAAAGAACTTGAAACTGAAGGGGGAATTGAACACTTAACCTTCTGCAGATGAAGATGCTTTACCACTGAGCTATCGGCGCCTTCTTTTACTCAAGAAAAAGGAAAGACAAGGAAGAAAGAGAGGGAAGAAGAAAGAGAGAAAGATAGGGAGGAAGAAAGAGAGAAAGAGAGGGAAGAAGAAAGAGAGAAAGAGAAGGATACCCGGGTCTTCGGACTCCGAGAGACTCGAGTTAAGTTTAGTTCAGAATTTGAACATTTTCTCTTCTCCACCCACATGTTCCTTCAACACGTCATCCATATTCGGCTGATCGGGCATCGTGTCCAAATCATCTTTACACAAATGGTACACAAATCCGCATCCGAAAGCATCACCAAGAACATTGACCGTCGTCCGAAGTCGATCTCTTAAGAAATTTTCCTCGAAATTTAACCATCAACTTACAAAAACCAATCAACGGCAATGATTAGAGAAATATCCTCAACTGGTAGTCCTAAAGCCGTCAAAACGATCATCATTGTGACTAGGCCGGCTGAAGGAAGAGATGCGGCTCCGATGGCTGCCAGAGTGGCAGTGATACTGGAATTTCATCGTAAAACTCTATCTTATCGACTATATATAAAGCAGAAGAGACGTCTGTCTCTCTGTATGTCCGTCCGTCTGTCCGTCTCTCTGTCCGTCTGTCCGTCTGTGCGCAGCGATTGACAAAAAGCGGTGGGGCTTAGATTGCGTGGAAAACGTGGATCTTCCCAGTAGAAAACGCGATCGTTAGTGAGCGTTTTCCGCTGGTAACTTATAATTTTATCTTTACAGTTTAGTAAGAACAGGTACTCGCTAATGATAACTGTCCCAATTCTGCATTGATTTTTGAATCTGGATCTGGTTTTTTTTTGAGTCTTCGTCAAGTTCGCATAACCAAGTTCTTAGCCAAGCGGATTGATGAAATGTATTATATTGTAGTCAAGTTTTCTGTTATTCAACTAACTACCGTAATTATTCTAATAAAGGGGCACTCTTCAAATAGACGAATGCCATAGAAAAACCGAGTTTTCTATTCTCTTTTTCGAATTGATCGATTTTGTTTCAAAATCGACGTGAATTCGTCAATTTTGGTTTAAAATTCGATATTCCTTT